TACCCATACCCCCCTGTCGAGCCCCCCGCACATACGCAGACCCGCCTCCCCGCCCACCGGTGTCCGATACAAATTGGGGAGACTCGCGTTTTTTTTTTTTTTTGTATTTTTGGGAAAGGGGGGCGGCGGGGGGGGGTGGGTGGGGGGGGGGGCGGGGCCCCCATCTTTTTATTTTATAATTTTTTGCCCCACGCCACCCCGCAGGGCGCCAACAAAGGCTCCGAAAGCCCAGCACTAACTTGTGGGGGCGGGGCGGGGGGGGGCGGGGGGGAGGGGCGGGGGTCCAAATTTCTTCTGATTGCAGGCTTCCCTCCTCATTCTTCCAGCTCCCTCGGGTACCTGTCCCAACCTCTCTTCATCTTTATACAATGTCCTCCTACCACAGTCCCTTCCCCTCTCCAGAAGGTAAAGTTTAAATTCTCACAACTGGATTTTGCACATCTCCATTTATTGCTAAGTGCTATAGATTGGAGCCCTATCCTAAGCTGTTCAGGGTCTCACCCCTTTTCTTCGGTTGTTTATAAAGACCATGAAATGACTGTGCACAGGATCTCCCTGCAGCCTCCAAGCTGTCGGGGGCCTGGGGTGGGGAGTGTCTTTTCCTCCTTGTTGAATGTCTTCCATACCCTATGTTTCCATAGCTACATCCATCCCTTGGCCTTAACTTTGGAATTTGGAGATTGATTATATGCAAACATGTGTAAAGGCTCGTGACTATGGATAACACTGGAATTTTATAAATTCTAAAATAAAACCCAAAACCAGATGCAGTGTGCTGGGACTCATTTCATTGTGTGTGCTCTGGTTCCTGTGACTAAGTGGCAACAACATCCCTGGGTAGTTCCAGTCCTCTCAGCAGTGACTCTGTCACTGTCACCTCCGGAGCTGTGGTAGGGGAGACCTAGCTACATGATGTGAGCTGGTGATGTCTTGACAAGGGCGTCTTGCCTGCTCCTGCACCATGGCCCCCGGTCAGATAACCACCTGCAGCTCTAAGTGCTGAGGGTGGGCAGTTCTACTTGAGGAGCAGTATGGTTCCTATAAACCTGTCCAGCTCAGGATCCCAGGCTCTCCATTGGCATTTGCAGGAAGGGCTCCCAGCACCCAGGCAGGCCCAGCTTGTGGTCTGTGGAGAGCCTGGTGGGAGAGGGCTGGCAGGCAAGGGGGAGTTAAGCAGGAAGGTCCATTCTAGTCCCCAAGTGGCAGAAGATCCCAGGAATGGGCAAGAGGAGCAGGGTAACTAACACCCCACTGCTGAGTGGGTTGGTCCCCACCTGGGATGGTGACCCAGCAGTTCCTGTCAATGCCAAATGTGTCCAATAACCCAGTGTTCCCACTCCCAGATAACTCCCTGCAGCAAGGTGCACCTGTAAAATGATTCCAAGCCACAAATGAGCTGATCTAGAACCCAGCACCAGCATGAGCCAGTCATAGCACTGGGGATACAGCCCTGCTGTCTAGTGAAGGAAGTTGCTATAGGATTTTCAGCTCCACTCCAGGCTTAATGGCCAAGATGGTGACTGCTCTGGGTGGGAGGAGGGGTAGCTGTCACTAGCATGGTGGTTTCCGCAGTATATTCACATGAAAACCCAGTGTGGAGACATTGCCGTTTCACATTCTACATTAAGACTTTACAGTTAACGATAGCAACAACAAAAAGCAACAGCTGGAAGAAGTACATGTGCATTTTGTAATCAACGCATTGGCTGGCAAAAGCACTTGTCCAACTGGCTGGGCTGCCCACCTGGCAGGTGCTCAGCAGGACACATCTTGACCGATGCAGTCCAGCCCTGTCACCCCAGTGTGTTCCTTGCCCTGATGGTAGAATTCTTACACAAAGTCAAAGGACAGTGCTCTTAAAAAGTAGGTGACAATTCTAAAAAGCCAGCAGGCTATGCAATACCTCAGTGCTCAACCTCCTTGTCAAAAGCCAGAGCAAATGCAGTGTTGCACAGGTCAACAGTGGGTTGGGAGGAGCTTGGGATACCTGGAAGCCTTTCAAAAATTATTTCCCTAGTGGGCAGGGTGACATGCATATAGTTCCAGCTGTTCAGGAGACAGAGGTAGGAGGATCACAGTCCAGGTCATCCCCAGGCCAAAACACGAGACCCTATCTGAAAGTAAAAAGGGCTGGTGGTGTGGCTCAAGTGGTAGAGCATTTACCTAGCAAGCGTGAGGCTCAGTACTACCACAAAAAACAACAACCAACCTGCATATCCCTTTTGACGTTCACGTTCCATGTCTACGACTATGGAAGTCAACGCAGATAAACACAATACGTGAGTAGAGGAAGAACCTACATCCCAACAGTAATGGACATCTGAGTAGGAAATGTGTGAGCGAGTAACATGGCCTGTAAATTAACAAGGCAAACAGGAAAAGGTCAAAACTGTATTATTTATCCAGTTTGGAAAACAATTACATAAGTGTACAGGAAGAAAAACTCCTGCAAGGAGAGCCATCAGACACTACAGGAATGTGCTTTCTTTCCCATTTTCCGCTTTTGCTAATGAGGGAAGCCTCTTTCCACAGCCTTGCCCTACTGAGCTGGGAGAGCTAGGGAGGCCCTTGAGAGTGGCCAGGATGGAAAGGGGTCAAGAAATGAGAGAACCTAGAAGATCTGGGCAATTGGGAAGGCCGGTGAGCTGTGGCCTGGACACAGTCTGAGAGCCAGGCATGCAGGCCATACAGTGGGGGACCCTGCCAGGACTGGGCAAGAAGAGGGAGGTGTGGGTCTTGAGGGAAAAGAAAGAGGAACTCCCTACTCTACCACCCACAGACAAAAGGTACCAGGAGCACCAGAGTGGGGGAGCTGGGGCAACATAGGCTTAGGCAGGCCAGGACCCCAAAGTCCACTGACTCAATTGGCAAAAGAGCCATGTCCAGAAGCTAGTGTGTGGACAGGGAGAAGCCAAGGTGAAGGCCACCTCTTGGCCCCTTGGGCACAGGTTTAGAGACAGGAAACAAAGCCCTCCCTGCTGGGGTATGAAGTCGTGGGTGAGGCAGGGAAGGGCAAGCGCTCTGACGTGCGACCACCAGGATCAAGGGCTGCAGATGCCAGCATTTCACAGAGCCTTTCTACCTTGAGGCCTGGATGGAGGACACTGGCTCATGGGGCTTAGGATGGGCGCGGTAGGGGGACATCAGATGTCCTCTAGGCACCGCTGCTGCACTGGCTGGCATCTAGTATGGACCATGAGGGACTTGGCAGGCAGAGTGAGAGCACAGGCCTAGAACAGCAATTGCCACAGGAGCAATAGTGCTCTAAGCCAGGATGGGCTGGAGTCAAGAGCCAGGCCATGGCCTCTGAGGGCACAGTGAGCAGGATGTGCTATGGACGTGCTTTTGATAGTCTCCTCCAGGCAGGCTTTGTAGCTGCCAGGTATCTGATCATTCTTCTGTGAGCTCAGAGGGAAGGGGCCAGAGGAGGCCGGCCAGTCCTGGAACCCTAGGCCTGTGGACCCCGACTTGGCTCTGAGCTCAGGGGCTGGTCAGTCTTTGCTCCACTTGCTCCAAGGAGAGCCTGTTCTGGGGAGAGCCCCTTATGAGACCAAGCTCACTCCTTCACCATGCAGGAGAGTTGAATGGGGCTGACCGGGGAGTCTGTGGGCTACGCTTGGCCACGTGACCCAGAAGACTGCAAGGGGCAGGGCTGTGGGGCAGGCAGAGGCTAGGTGAGGCACTCACCTCATTGTCGGCCAGTGCCTGCTTGGCCAGGTAGTACTCCCGTTTCACCTTGATTTCCACCGACTCTGGGATGTCGGGAACCAGCAGGTCAAGGGCTCGGCCAATAGAGAACACTACATGCTGAGAGAAGAAGGTTCCCCCACCCAAGCCTTAGTAAGACAAGTGCCCAGAGTGGCCTTCAGGGGACTAGGCATGCCCAGGCTCTAGCATCTGTTCCCCCACTGGGTGGAGATGGAGCAGCCGTGTAGGAGACAATGCCGCTGAGTGGCAGAGGAAATGGCCCAGAAGACCACCCCAGGGAGCATAGCCCCACAGAGCTCCCTGCTACACTCAGAGTCCTCAAAGCACTGCCACCCCATAACCCAGGGACAGAGCCAGCAGGAGAAATGAAGGTGGAGAGAACTTTGATAAACCCAGAGAACAAAGTAGGTAGTCATCTGGTCACACTGACTACCCACACCACAAACTCAGATTAGGCAAAGCAGGTCAGGGACCTCAAGGAAGGGATGGAGGTCAGTAGTGGGGGCAGTAGAAAAGCTGACAAGTGCCTCCGTTACCTCAAACACAATGACAAAGGCCAGGCGGATGGCCAAAAGATTCCAGTAGGTTTGCGAATAGTGTCCATCATCATCCCGGAAAGCCCGATACCTGGCAGGAGACACAGGACTCGTAGGTAGCTGGGACTGAGAGTTGGTCTCTGGAACCAGCCTTTCTCAGCTTTCCCTCCTTTGGTTCTCCATCGAGGCTCTCCAATGAGCAATAGCTTTAGCTGGGGTTCTGAACAGGCTCATGGATTGGGATGATCCCCCACGGCGGCAAACGGCTCATCTTAGCAGACATGACAGCCCTACACGTCTGTACTCCTACAAATGATGTCCACCTACTTACAGTGTGAAACATGGAGCCCTGACCACTGCAAGACCAGCAGCTGCTCTGCTCAGGATGGGCCTGCCCAACAAGACTCCCTCACAAAAGCACACTGCCTCAGCTTCTGGGTGACAAGCACAAGGTAAAGATGTGACATTCTGCTGTGTGATGCAGACCTCCGTGTTGCACTCCATGCAAAGTATTACCAGGGAAAAGAAAGAATACAGAAATCTTGAAAGTTAAAAGTATATCTTTGAAAACAAAAAATCAGTGTCATGGTTTGGATCTGGAATGTCCCCTGAAGTCTCATGTGTTGAAAGCTTGGTCTCCAGCTGGTAGCACTATTGAGAAGTGGTGGAAGCTGTAGGATGCAGGCCTAGCTGGAGGCAGTAGCTCACTGGAGATGCTTTTGAAGGGAGGATAGGAAGGAGGGCTCCTCTTTTCTTCTGTTTCCTGGCTGCCTTGAGGTGAGCACTCTGCTCCACCCCACCCCAGCCCAGAAACAATGGAGCCGATCACCATGACCCTCGAAAACCATGGAACAAAATAAATTCTTTCTCCTTTAAGTTGTTTATGTCAGGTGCTTGATTTGTTTTTTGTCTTTTCTTTTTTGTGCGCTGGGTATCCAACCCAGGGTTTTGTGCACGTGAGGCAAGTGCTCTACCACTGAGCTACATCCCAGCCCTATGTCGGGTGTTTTGTTAGGTCACTGAAAGGCTAACACACCCTTAATAAATGAGATAAACTAAACTAGAGGGACCGAGGAAACTGGGACAGTGCTGATGAAATCTCCCCATGGGGTTCCTATCCCCAACCCTTTTCTCAGATTGCCAGAAGACTTAAAAATAGAAAAACAACCCAAGCCACAGGAAGAGATGTACAGGCTCCACCACAGCTAGCACATGGAAGGAGTGGAGACATTTCCAGAGCAAAGGTCCAACATCTCTCTAGATCCACATTGCAAGTCTCAATGAGAAGCTTTAAAATAAATCCTATCTTCACGAACAAAGCAAGAAAAATGAGGCAAAAAATGCTACGAAAGCGGCCAGTAAGAAAAGCCAAGTCACAAGCCAGGCACAGGACACATGCTCATAAATCCCAGCACTCAGGAGGCAGAGGCAGGACGACCTTGGGTTTGAGGCCAGTATGGCTACATCAGGAGATCCTGTCTTGAACAAAAAGCCGGGGGGCAGGGGGAAATGTGTGAGATAGGAAAGAAGGGAGGAGTCTAATCACAAAAGAATATTTCCCAAGACTTCAGGACACAAAAATACTTTCATATGTAAACTAAGAGTCTATGCACCAGATAATTCTTTTTTCATACTGGGGTTTGAATGCTGGGCGGGCCTCACATTTGCTACCTCTTGAGCCACTCTGCCAGTCCTGCCGGTCCTTTCTGCATTTGGGTGTTTTCAACATAGGGTCTTGCAAACTATTTGCCCAGGCTGGCCTTGAACCATGATCCTCCTGATCTCTGCCTCCCAAGTAGCTAGGATTACAGCTGTGAGCCACCAGTGCCCGGCTCAGATACCCCTTTTACAGAGACTACTAGTTCAGCAAAAATTAAAATGAACTCAGAGGGAAGGCAAAACAGTGTACAAAACAACATGACCACAAGAGTAGTAAGTACAGCAGTCTATGAACAGACCACTTGAAATGTTCTTGTGTGTTTGTTTTCTGAAGTAAAGCTAAAGCTTTGTAATAATTATAAGATGGAGTGACTGGTACTGAACAGGTGGTAAGACACATGAAGACCCTTGTGCACAAGGAGAGGAAACAAAACTGAATCCACCCAGACTTTGTATGCTTTGTATGGTTATGAATGTGTGCTAAAAATGTAAGGGTAGCCCCTAAAATAATAGAAATATATGCCATCAGTTCCAACTGCACAGGACAAGAAAAAGAAATAAAGCACTTTTACCTGTCCACTGGAAGGCAGGAGAGAAGAAATTTAAAAAGAAAAACAATTCAGTATAAAGAGATCACAAGTCTGAACTTACATTGCAACTAAGAATCTCAAAATACATAAATTAAAACCTGGCTGATCTTATGAAGAACCTGATCACCCTGCATTCCTGAGATTTTGATTCACCTCCATCAGAATCTAGTAGATCAAGCAGGAGGGGAGAGAAGCGAGGATGAAAACCTGAGCAATAAAACTAAGAGGACTGACCTAATAGTCATATGTAGAACCTTGCTCTAAAAGTAACAAAATATGATTTTTTTCAAGTTCATTTAAACATATGCAAAAACTTATCACAGAAGAAGACTCAGCAAATAAAATCCATGTATGTACTCTTAAGTTCTCCAACCACAGCCAACTCAACTAGAATCGATAACTTTTTTAAAGGTAGAAAAAAGACCCCTCAAGGTGGTGCCTTGAAGTCACAGTTGAGGTTGAAAATGTTTAGCCGAGGAGAGGAGGAGGCCATCAGCACCGGTGTGAATGTCCAGACGTCAATTCGTTTACCAAAACCCAAGAAAGACTGAAATGAGTTCAGGTTTCAGCTCTGTTAGGCTGATTTTTAAGGTGGAAAACAAAAATAGACACAAACTACATCTGGAAAGAAAATGGGCCATAAACTTAAAAAAAAAAAAAGCGTAAGAAAATCTTGATAGATCATTGGAGATAAACTTGTGTCAACACATTGTAGGCCTTAAGAAATAGTTTTTATAAAAATATAAGGTAGGAAAAAAGTACATCCATGAAAGGAATGGGATTGGTGACCTCAACTCCCGCCGAGAGCCAGCGGGGCTGCGGGGCTCGGTCTGCAAACGCGGGTGAGGCTGCAGGGATCCGCATCCGCGCCCGGTCCTTCCGTCCTTCCCTGCAGGCCTTCCCCAGGGCTCCTTCCCTGGCCTGACTCCGGTCCTCCTCGAGTGCGGGGTCCGGGTCCCCAACCCTGTCCCCATCCCCGCTCCCTCTGCCCCGCCCCGCCCCTGTCCTCAGCCCCGCCCCTATCCCCGCCCTCTGCACCCAACCCTGTCCCCTGTCCCCAGCCCTGCCCGCTGTCCCCTATCCCCGCCCTCTGTCCTCGCCTCCTGTCCTCAGCCCCGCCCCGTCCCCGCCCTCTGTCCCCACTCCTATCCCGTCCTCAGCCCCGCCCCTATCCCCGCCCTCTGCACCCACCCGTCCCAGCCCTGCTCGCTGTCCCCTATCCCCGCCCCCTCCGTCCCCGCCCCGCCCCTGTCCTCAGCCCCGCCCCTATCCCCGCCCTCTGTCCCCACTCAAATCCCCTGTCCCCAGCCCTGCCCGCTGTCCCCTATCCCCGCCCTCTGTCCTCATCTCCTGTCCTCAGCCCCGCCCCGTCCCCAGCCCCTCCGCCCTCGCCCCTGGTCCTACACCTCCTGTCTCCGCCCCTTTGTCCCTGCCTAGGCCCCCCGCCCCCGGCCCCGCCCCTCCGGCCTCGCCCTGCGCCCGGCCCCGCCCTCCGCCCCCGCCCCTCTCCCCGCCCCCGCCCCTCCGGCCCCGCCCCTGCCCCGCTCCTCCGGCATCGCCCTGCGCCCCGGCCCCGCCCCTCTCCCCGGCCCCGCCCTCCGCCCCCGCCCCTCTCCCCGCCCCCGCCCCTCCGGCCCCGCCCCTGCCCCGCTCCTCCGGCATCGCCCTGCTCCCCGGCCCCGCCCCGGCCCCGCCCCTCCGGCATCGCCCTGCGCCCCGGCCCCCGCCCCCGCCCCTCACCTGCACGTGCGGTTGTGCGTGGCGGCGAAGGCGTGCGGCGCGCGCGCCAGCGTGAAGTTGAGGAAGCCGCGCAGGTCGCGCGCGCGCGTCCACCGGAAGTAGGCGCGCGGCAGGAAGTCGGAGGAGAAGGCCAGCAGGAAGGCCTGCGGGCGGCAGGGTCAGCGAGGGCCTTCCCCGCGCCCCCGGCCCCGCCGGCCCCTCCGCCCGGCCCCCGCAGCTCCGGCCCGCGCGCTCACGTTGCTGATGACCGCCAGGTGCGTGATGGCCGCCAGGATGTGGGACCAGATGCCGATGTCCTGCGCGCGCTCCGCCACCGGGCGCCGGTACTCGCAGACGAACTTGCGCGCGTCCAGGCGGATCTCCACCCAGTTGTTGAGCAGGGCGAAGAGCGGCGCCAGCGGGCAGGCGGCCACAAAGATGGTGATGAAGCCGTACTGCAGCACTGCGGCGGGCGGCCGGCCGGTCACTGTGGGCCCCGGGCGCCCACTGGCCTCAGCTGCTTGTAGGGGTCCCGCCCCCGACACCCTGGCGCCAGGGCTCCCCAGATCCTCCGAACGTCCCCGAAGCGGGGTCTGGGGACACCCTCTGCCTGCCTGTGTTTCCAGTTTGCTCTTTCCCGTCCTGTGCCGTTCAGCTCCAGGGCCACCTCCCTGACGGGCCCCAGGCTTGGAAGCCCAGCTCTGCACCCTGTTCCACGCCCCTGGCTGGCCCCTGGACTCCCGGCCTCCTGAGGCCCTGAGGTCAGGGGCAGTAACTCGAATTAACTTCTGATTTTAGCGACCACCTCACCATTCACTCCTCTGGGTGAAGCTTACAAGAAATGGCTAATAGTTCTGTAAAATTACTAGTGGGGATAGATCATCACGTGCCACTGTCCAGGGAAGCAGAGATACATAGCGTCAACCCCCCTTCCTCTGAACTGCCCTGCTTGCTTTTATCCCTTTGTGCTCTGGCTGCCTGGGAGCTCCATTTAAACACAAACAACACTTATTATGATTATGCTAAATCTCCGTAGTTAGCCTGCTGGGACAGGTACCTACATTAAATGAAGACCTCCACAACATGCAATGAGCCACAAGAATGGGCCACCACCTGGCAAGTTCAGGGCAGAATGTGTGGTCACTGAAGAAATTTCTGGGGCCTTACTGCCCAGGTATACCCTTACCACCTGGAGGACCTCAGCCCCTGCACCAGGGCCTCCTTCCTCCACCTCCCCTGTCTCTTTCCTTGCTCCCTACATTGGGTCCTGCAGTGCTTTGGGTGGGGTTAGGGCTCTAGGAGAGCCCCACAGCTGCCCCAGGGGTCTCCAAGCTTTCCCATTCTTCTCAGCTGCCCCCCCCCAGCTCCTTTCCAGATCTCTGCAGACCTGGGTCCCCCCCTGTCCCCTCCACATGGATGCAAGGGTGGGAGAGCCTTGAGTGTCAAGGTGTGGCTGCCAACATGGCTCCTACCCATTTCGAGGTACTCATGGAACAGCCCCTCACACGGCAGCAGCTCGTAGTCAGCTTCCCAGGGTGCCAGGCCAGCCCTGGAGGCATCACCAGCCTTCCTCCTCCTAGAGCCCAGCCGCAGCTTCTGCCACCAGCTCTTCAGCTTCCTGCAGGGGGAAACTGGAAAGATGAACTGTGCGGGGCCACGGTGAGCTAACTGAGCTGGTCTGGGAGGAGATGCAGTCAGGATGGGCTGCTGCTCTACAGTTAAAGGGAACTGGAAACAGAAGGGTCTGGGATCTGGGGCTGGGGGTGGGTGCAACGGGGGCTGCAGCCTCTGCAGGCCAGACTCAATGAGAGGCCCTGGGTCCCCCATTCTCTGGGGCAGCCACCTTCCCTGTGGCATCCTCAGGAGAACCAGCTTAGCTCCTGAAGGTTTGGGGGAAAGGATTCCTCCTGGAGCCACCTAGAGATGCCAGGAGCTATGTCAAGGTTGGGAAGGAACGACTGAGTGAGGTAATGCTGAGTCCGAGAAAGCAGTTCCCACCAGCCTATGTGTTGATGTGTAATGGCTGTATCATGCATGGGATGCTCCTGCATGTTGCATAGGAGGCATGCATGTGGGGACATATCACTGTTGCTTTGTTATAGGTGGGGCTCTGTGTGGTGTCATACATGGGGGCACATATGTTGCTTCATCACAGGTTGGGGCATGTGTGTGTTGGCTTTATACACTGTCACTCATCCAGTTCCTGTGCCTGTCAAACACTTGAGCTATACCCTGCACATCTCAACCCTGTTGAGTACAGTTCACAGCCCCAGTGGTCCTAAGAAGCAAGGACACACCCAGAGAGGGGACCATTATGGTTGAGATGCTCTGGGTGACTTAATGCCAAGTTGGGAGCTGCTTCCAGAGGGAAATCAGGTGTGCAGGAGCTGGATGTACAGGTTGATGTGACCTCAGGTGGGAAAGGCTCCTTTGAAGGGTTCTAAGCCTGTGAGGGAGCCCAGTTGCTTAGTTGGGGACCACAGTGCCAGACAGTGGGGGCAGCAGTGGAGAGGGGACCCCTGGTGGTCAGATGCCCTGACGCAGATGGCAGTCTGGGAGTCAAGCCTGAGGTCAAGGGCTTCTCCTTGTCCCTCCATCATACTGTTGGAGGTGGAAGCCAAAGACCTCCTTGTCCAGCACATTGGGCTAGTCCACGTGGCCTCCTGCCCTGACACACATTGCTACACATTCCCCCTGCCCTACTATAGCAAGGAGAGGGAGGGACTGTCAGAGTCCCTGGGGGCAGTTGGCTGTGCAAACCCTTCCTCTCCCCTTCACCTCTCCTCCCAGCTGGCCACAGGCTGGGGGCTGCTACCCCCAGCACTCTGGGGTCTCTTGGTCCTTGGAAGCTGCCAGGGCAGGGTCGGGGTGACTTACGGGGCCAGGACCTCCTGCACATTGTTGATGATCTGCTTGCCCACCATGATGACTAGGAGCTCTTGTGCCAGCTCGATGAGGCAGCCTCCAGCCGCACACTGCAGCATCAGGACTCCAGGTTAGCTTGGAAAGGGACCAGCCACACAGCCTCCTAGCCCTCTCTGCCTCAGAGGTGCTGTCTTCCCTGTCCCCGACCTCCTGTGGGACATGCCTGGGCACCTTGAGGATTGTAAATAATCCTGCCTTCTGCCTGCCTCCCCCTGCCCACCACACACCCCCAGCCTCACCTGAGCACCCCAGGCCCAGGTGGCAGGCTGTGTATGGGAACTACCACAGGGACTCTGCTGTTTGTGCCCAGTGGCACCCCAGGTTTCCTTTGGGGACCCACATGGGGTTATGTGGGGCCAACTATAACCTCTGGTTCCTGCACCTGACCAAGGTGCAGGTCAGCAAAAGGTGGACACAGGGAGTTCCTGGGAGTGCTTGCCTTGTAAGGGATGCTCAGTCAGAAGGCATCACCTGTGCTGGGGGGTCAGTGGCACAGTGGGATGGCTTCCCCACCAGGTGAGGAGAGCCACCCTGAGAACTCAGCCAGGGCTGGGGACAGCAGTACAACAGTGTTTAAATACTGGATCCAGCCATACCTGAGCCCATAGAATCCTAAGCATTTTCAACACAAGAGCCAGTGAAACTCCTTATATTGCTTAAGCCAATTTGAGTTGGGCATTTTCCCACTTGTGACTGGAAGGTGTCTGACTAGTAAGTTGTGCCTGAGGCTCAGCTGCACCTATACCTGACTCTGTCCCTTCTCTCCACAGTCCCAGCCTAGAGGTCACTAGTGGATGGCTCCACCCACCCACACTGCCTGCGCCCTAGCCAAAAAGGGGTAGAATATGTGGGAACAATTTTTGGAAGGGCCCTTGCAGGGTGGAGCCCACTCCCTGCCCCCTCTTGTGCTTTTGTGGTTGGCACCCCAGTAGCCTGCACTGGAACCTTTGTCTTTAGTTTGTTCTGGGAGTGTTCATACTACAAACCTATTGCACATCTGAAAAGCCAGGCTCACTCCTGGATCTTAGAGTCACTAGATCCCAAAGACAAACAGAGCCCACTTGTGTTAATAGAGAGGGCAGCTGTGGGAAATCCAGGACAGCGTAGGCTGCAGGGAACTAAGCCTCTGTGTCCTGATAGCCCACTGGGGCCTGGGTGGCACCAGCACCTCCCACATCCTTCTGATGGCTCTGAGGCCTCTCAGGGATCAAGCAGTTTAAAACAGAAAAAAGCTGACATGGGCTGGGAGTAGGACTGTGAGTGTTCTGTGGATGGTGGTTGCAAATGGGGTCCTGGGGCAGATGTGGTCAAGAGGTCTGGAGTCCTGGGGGGCAGCCATGAGGCTGGCCTCTGGCTTGGAGGATGGCAGGAGGGCAGGCAGGAAGGATGACAGCAAACTAAGACTGATGGGTATTGAAGAGAGCTCAGTTCCCAGCCCAGTCTGCTCAGGTATCATCTGCCTGAGCTCACTCACCTCCTCATTTCGGACTCCAAACAAGGTGTGATGGTTGCCTGGGTATCCCACAAACCTAGGGGGAAACCAAGTCATCAGACTGCGAGGGACACAATCTGCCAGTCTCCTCCCCTTCCCTGGCCCTGAGCCTGAGCTGAGCTGCTGCCCTTGACCTGGCAGAAGCACCAACCTGACCCCCGTGAGCCCCCGAACCTGCTGGAGACCTGGAGGGGGGCAGCACATGCTTACTCAGAGGTACAGGCCTCAGCACCTCCCCAGGCTGTTCATCTCCAGCTGGACAGACAGAGTAGGGCAAAGTGAAGGCTGGCCAGCAGGGAGAGTGCCCACCCACCTGCCCTTGAAGAAGGCTATGTAGACAGGCGAGGAGTAGAAGTTGACAGACTGGAAGATGAACACCTTGAGGATGAAGGCATCCTCGAATGAAGTCTGCGTCCGGTGCATCTCTGTGTATACAGGGCTTTGCTCAGTTGCCTGGACACACTGGCCAGCATCCAGTGCACTACCCCCTCCTGCAAGTCCACCTCACCATCCAGGAGTGAGGGAGAAGCATACGGTTGCCCAGATCATTTAAAAATCTTCATTAAGGGAGGGGTCAAAGCAGAGTTCCTAAATTTTTAATTTCAAAATCATTCCAAGGCATGTTGATTTGGATGGGAAGAGCTGGGAACTTTGAGAGCAAACCATGTCTGAACTCTAATTGTGAAAACAGCGTGTACGGGGAGCATAGCAGCATCGGTCAGAGTGGCAGGGTAGTGTCCTGGCCAAGGCCATGGAGGGTGGGGGGAGAACAGGGAACATGACAGGTGAATTGGAGGGAAGAGTGCACAGGACCCCACAGTTGTAGGAACACATTAGGTACCTCCCCCAAGGCCCTGTCCCTGCACCCCCTTCCAGGTGAGGGCTCCCTTAGCTGCCCAACTAAAGGCCCTACTTAGCATTTCATCCCCTTCCCTGTCCATGACGGTTGTGCCCTGAGTGAGAGTTTGCTCTGTCCCCTCTCTTGGATTTTAGGGGTTCACCCTCAAGGCCCAGCCTGGACTGATAATAGCCAATAGTTTGTGGAAGAAACATTCATCCTTAAGGAATGAGAGACAGTGTCACAGACAAAACAAAGACAGTGGCAGACAGAGGAGGTAGAGGGAGAAGGAACTTCGCTTTGCAGGGCTGTTAGCTCCTGAACATGTGGGAAATGCTGAGGACTGTTTCCAGGTCCCCCTAGTGTGTGCTCCAAGGTGTCTGGGCCAGTCACAGCTAAGTCCCCACCCCTAGTCTGCCCAGTGGAGGCCCATAGCCTTGCTCTAGAGGTACAAGCCTCACCTGGGAAACTGCACCTTAGGAGTCGTGAGGGGGTCAGGAGAAGCCAGGCTTACTGACTGGGATGCCCCTGGGCCTTCCTCTCCCCCACTGAGGCCCTGCTCTGGGGGAAGCCTAGACACTTCCTCTAGCAGTGCTGAAGTTTGAGCTCAGGGCCTCAGGCTTGCTAGGCAGGAGCTAGACCAACTGAGCCAAGCCCTAGCTCTAGACACCTCCTTTAGAAACAAGGGACCCTGTTAGTCCCTCTGGCTCAGGGTTGGTCAGCGCTGGGCCACCTCCACCTCCTAACTCACCCCATCTCGTTAGGACCTGGGCCAGGGCCATGTAGATCTTGGAGAGGATGAGGATGAAAATGAGGTTTACCACGGACCCTGTGAAGCTGGCGATGCGTGAGGCCTGAGGGAAGATGGGGTCAGGACAGGGTGCAGGAGGAGTGGTCAGGACCCCCCAGAGGAGTAGGTGGTGGAGACTCACCCAGGCCGTGAGAAGGGTGTTGTCTGACTTGGACACAAGGATGGCCATACTGGCCCGGTACAAGATGATAGACACAAGGCACATGACCACCACAGCCACCTGCAAGGCCAGTGAAGGCTAAAAGTTCTCCACTGTGGCCCCAGCATCCCATACCCTTAGGCCACAGCCACAGAAAGCCCACTGTGCCAACTGCCAGCCTAGCCACCTCCTCCGGGAAGCCTTCCACCTCCAACCCAGGTTGTGCTCCCAGACTGCCCTTCTTCCTAGTGGGGGTCAGTTAGAACTGGGGGATACACCTGGGAGTCAGGCAGCCACTGTACACTGACACCCAGCATTGGAAAACCATGCCCCCACTCCCATCCACCTCTTTGCAACCATAAACTGGGAATTCTGTAGTTTGGAGTGGGGAAGGGTCCTAACAGCAAGCCTTCGACCAGATGGCACAGCAGGGAGTGGTGGGCCCCACATTGGGACTGCCCACATCTAGTATTTGGGACCCAAAGTTGCTTATGCCCTCCCAGAGCTTCTGCAGGGCACCTACTTGCCCCTGTGGGGACTTCGCATCCTGGCCTGGGGCTCAGCTCCCTCTCTGGGACCCAGAACATGAAGGCCTTGTGCCCAGAGGAGGCATCAGGCCCTTCCCCAAGGTGAGAAGTGGGCAGAACCACCAACAGGGCTCAGGAGGACGGAGGTTTGCCAAGCAGGGAAGGCAGCGGGGATGCTGTACCATCATCATGACCACCACGGAGCCGGCCAGCACGCGGTGCAGACGCCTCCTCTCAGGGAAGTAGGGCTCATCCTCCCCAGTGATGGGGTTCAGGGTGGTCATGGGAGCGGTAGCAGCAAATTGGGGCCGAGGCCTCTCCTGGAAGGGAGCCATACTTGGGGCAGTGGGGTGTGACCCTCGCCAGGAGCACCCACAGCCCAGGGGGAACAGCTTACCTCGATGTCCTCATAGTCGAAGCAGTCCCAGTGGTGGGCCAGTGTGATGCTCTTCCGCTTCCAGTACTCCAGAAGCAACACGCTCCACAGTGCCATGAACAAACTGAAGAAGACGGTGCCATCATGGTCGAAGAGCCGGCCAGCCTGTGGAGGGGTGTGCGTCCCCAGTGTGCTCCTGGCCAGTGGCCCTTTTGTGTCTCTGGTTTCCCTTCTGGGGACGGGGATGTCTTCCCGTGCATGCTCACCACTGCACTTTGGAAGTGCATAGTCCCAGTTCAGGAGCCACAGGGGTAAGGATGGTACCCAGGGATGGCCCACACCGCCTCACCCGTGCCTGACTGGGACTTTTTGCAGTGATGGTGTTGAGAGGAGATTTTGAACTTTTGGAGTTAATGCTATAATAGGTGGAGGTTTGGGCGGATGTTGGGGTGGGGTGAATGCATTTTGTGCATAAGATGAACATGAAGTTTGGGGGACAGAGGGTAGACAATAGTGGTGCCCAGAAGGCATGGAGCTCCTGAATGTAATCTTATTTGGAATAAAGCCCTTTGGAGATGTAATGAGGGTGAGAGTCTTCAGAAGAGATGCCTGGATAGGGGGACCACATAAACCTGTGCCAGTCCTCAGAAGAGATGGGAAACAGGTAGAGAGACACAGGAGAAAAAGGTCTTGTGAAAACAGAAGCAGACATGGGAGCAAAACAGCCACAGCCTGGGAGCACCAGGGATGGTGGGTGGCCACCAGAAGCCAGAGAGGCATGGAATGGACTCACCTTCATAAGGTGACAGAGCTGCAGTGACAGGGAGGGTAGGAACTGGCACAGGCACAGTGTGGGCCAGAACCTGGATGGAGCAGCTGCCATCCTCACCCTGCCAGCTCCTGACGCCCTGACCCCAGCCCACCTCTCCTCGTACCTGGGCCTGGGCACAGGTGCTGGACAGCAGCCAGAAGGGGCAATCTGGGCAGAGTGGGCACATCTCGAAACTGTCTGTGCTGTGGCACAGCTCCTGCCTGTAGGGCATGAAGGTGGTGTCAGGAGTGGGGGGGACTGGAGAGGGCTGGGGAGGGCTGCTCTCACCTCCCAATCAGTTCCATCCCTTCTCCCTCTCCCCACCACTGCTGTACCAATCCTAGCACATCTTTAAAAGTCATTCGTGTTTGGGACTGGTGGAGTGGCTCAAGGTGTGGCCTGCTTTGCAAACGTGAAGCCCTGAGTTCAAACCCCAGTCTCACACAAAAGAAAAGAATCAGTTGTGTTTAAATATATTCAGTGACAACTTTGAGATAACTTTTTTTGAAATTTTCGCTCCATAATAAAGTGCAAAGCCATTTATTTATTATAAGAAAAGCTTACACTATTGTAATAAATAAGGGTGAGTGCCAATAAAATTAGCCTGGGATACCTCTTTTCACCTATCAGCCTAGGCACACACCTGTCTACTTGTGTTAGCCTGGGGAACCCCTATCCCATCAGCCTTTCAGTCATGTCCACAGGGCCTCTAACACTCACCTCTGCACAGGGCCTGGCACCTGACAGCCACACAGCCACATAGCCACATAGCCCTCATGAGGCACAGACAAGCCCCCAGGAGTTGAGGGAAGGGGATACTTACGTTGGCGTGTCTGAGAATACCATGAAACAGCCCACCAGGAACACCACTGTGCCTACCACTGCTGCTGGCAGGAGCCAGCCTGTGTAAAACCCTGTAGGGGGGATGCTAGGGGTCAGTGGTCAGGAACTGAGTTTGCCCTGTGTACTCTACTCTAGTTTGTTGGGGTCTAGAGCCTTCTAGAAGGAAGCTGAGAGGGAAATGATTCTCCCCTGACCACTCTGTGCAGAGTCCCTCCCTCCTTGGCCTCTTCCCTTGATTCCGAAGACCCCCTTACCTTGTTGACCTTGGAACCAATGCCCCCCAGGACCTCAGCCCAGTGGCCCCTCTGCCTCCTGGATGCCCCTCTTCTAGCCCTGCTCATCTCCAACCAGCTGGGTGGACTGAAGAAGCCCCTCTGCCTCCTGCCCACACTGCCTGCCACCGACCTGTGTTCCAGTTTGTCTGGAACCTAGATGAAGACCCAGCCATCTTGCCCTCCAAGGCCCTCTAGACTGGCCTTGCTGTCTGGTGGGAGGGGCTATCCCAGGATGGGGAAGGAGGGGTCAAGAGCAGAGCCCAGTTGGGGCATGTGCCTGTCCAGGCCTGTCCAGGACAGACTGCCATTTTGGAGGTACCCTTCTGCCTGGAGGAGAGGATGGGTTGGCTTGGACCCCCAGCAGAGGTGACCTCCCTTAGCATGGAAGTTCTTCCTGTCCAATGTCTGACAGGCAAGAGACCCTGGGGGCAGGAGGACTCCCCCACCCAGCAGAAGGGGTTTTCATTGTCTTACTGAGGCACAGAGAGGTCAGCGCCTCAGAGCAGCCTTACAGCCCAGTTACGCAGTCAGGGCTGTCCCAGAAGGAGAGCTCCCCCAAGGGATTTACCGTGTGGGGCAGGGTCCCCTGAGGGAACAGGACTTACCAAGCCAGGTAAAGTACAGGGCCACCTTCTCCCCGAAGTACCTACGCACGTGGTCCAGGGGCTGGTACTTGTTCCACTTGCCCCAGCGAGCCCAGTACTGGAAGAGGGTGTGGCGCTGGTTCAGACCCAGGGCTTGTGGGTTTTCTTGGGCCATAGTGAAGGGGCCCTGGGGAAAAGAGGTCATTGGCAGGGTGACTCCATGATAGCGGCAGCTCTGTCCCCTTCTAGGTGTGGGGACACTAGTGCTGGGCCCGACCTGTAAGCCTCACCCTCAAGGGCAGGTAGATGGGCAGACAGGCCTGGGAGTTGGTGGTTACTGCTGCAGGAAGGGAATGGAATAATGGGGAGTGAGCCCACGGCGGTCCAGGAAGGCCTGAGTCAGAGGGTTTCCTCTGACTCTTTGGGGCTGCTGAGCATCGAGGGCAAGGGAGGTGCTTGGACATGCCAGCCTGGGACGACAGAGGCTGGGGTGCAGGTCAAGAAGTGCTCTGGGGGTTCTCTAGGCTTGCTACATATGCTGGCTGCCCCAACCTGTGAGCTACTTGCTGTGCATCCTGGTCTGCTGGCTGGCAGAGGGATGTTACTCCAGGGCAGAGGAGCACCTGGCATTTCCACATCCATTTCTTCAGGGCATCAGACAGGACTGTCTCCACAGACACAAATCAATGGATGCAGACCTGACCCTGGTCTTTGGGGCCCCTGCTACCTCCTGATGAAGCTGCACAGGCCTCACCTGTTTGGCAGAGGGGCAGCTGCAGGAGGGCCAGCGCACACACAAGGGGACTATGTCAAGAATAGTGGTGTGGCTGTCAGGAACAGCGCCAAGGTAGCTGTCATGGTCAGTGCCTACCTGCCAGCTCCTTGGGTGCAGGAAACCTCACCGACTTTATCATGGGAAGACACTGCCCAAAGAGACTGAGCCATAGCATCCAGACCTGGGGTTGAGTCTGGTCGCCATGCCAGCACACTGCAGTAAGGGCTGGAGGCCAACCAAAGCTTTCTACTTCCAATAGGCTGCCATGTGGCTTGGACACATCACAGGTGTGTTCATTTGGTGTTCCTAACCCCCAGTGTGACCACACCGACTGACCTGGCTACCAGGGAGTGCAGGACCCACTGCCCCTACATTCCCTGTGTGGAGGACAGCACCGGGGTGAGCACTCACTCCCATGACCAGGCTCACACCACCACCACAAGCCCCTTGACCCCAGACTCACATCATGCAGGGGGAAGGCTGCACTGAACACACCCTCCGCCAGCAGCTGGTCAATCCCAAACAAGCCTTTCTTCTCATGGCCATAGGGGGTCTTGGCCAGGATCTCAAACAGCTGTGGGGCAGATGGAGGAAGGCACCCATCACTGGTCATGTGATGGCAGGCAAGGCCATCCTGGATGACCATCTTGGGCTGAAGCCACAGGCACCCTCCCATCACCCCCAGCAACAAATGATAAAAAGCAACAAATGAAAAATCCCTGAGGCCTCACACACCCATCTCCTGTGTGACCACCTCACACTCATGACCGCCCCTGAGCAGGGTGGCAATCAATGGCCAGGATCTCATGGCTGGTGAGAGCCCAGCCTAGGTTTGAACCTGGGCCTGGCCACATATGGCCCGTTATGGATCTATGCTCTAGGGGAATCAGTGCCTTCAGGACACCTGGCCAGGTGGATACCCTCTGCCTGGACAGCTGCCATAGCTTTGTGCCCTTCAGTGGTCAGTAGGGGCTCTCTGGGGCCTCTGGAGCAGGCCTCCTCTGTGTGATGGCTCCAACCTGCCCATGCAGCCTGGCTCCACCAAACTTCCTCAGGGGACTCTGTGTCTGCAAAGTGTACTCTGGACCATCCGTAGGACCCCCACAGGTCCATAAACATGATATCTGTTTTGGATCCTGGGGCCTTGGAGAGGCAGTCAGTATGATGCCAGCTGTTGCCCGGTTTGCTATGCAATTTTGGCATGTCCCCCATCCAGGACACATCCTCCTGCTATGTAGTTAGGTCAGAGCAGCCTCCTAGGCCTTGGCTTTCTGGTCACAGGGGAGACTTGCTTCTTCTGTGGTGGCCTCTGCTCCCAGCTCAGGGTTGGGAGGTCAGTGGATGGCAAGCTCATCTGAGCACGGGCTGGAGCAGGGACCCCCACTTACAATCTGGTGTCTCTTGGTGCTAGAGAAGAAGGTGTCATGGTTGTCACTCCCAAGGAACCTGTAGGCGTGAGAAGAGCTTCTGGGGTGCAAAAGCCTGGGCACCACAAGAGAGTAAGCACACACAGGAGTACACACATGAGAAGGGCACATGTTCACAGGGGCCCATGAAGGCCTGACGTGTACATCCATGTGGCCACACAACACACCCTCAGTCCCTCATCCTGGGAGGACAAGCACTGGCACCCAGCCCGTAATCAGTACCTGCTTTTGTCTTTCTTTCCCTCAGACAGGAGGTTACCGTGGGTTCCAGAGGTATCACCCACCAACACACACATAAAGCAGGGGAAAGAGTGACCGGTTCTTGAAAAAGCAGATTCCCCTATACCTTTGGCCTTTTGGACATGGCCAGTTCCCTTTCTGTTTCTCTGCAATACTGTGATGTCAGCCATTAGGCCCTCACCAGAGAGGAAAGAGTATGACCTCTCTCTATTGGTCTTTTGGTCTCTAAAACTGAGCTAAATAAATCTCTTTTCTGTATAAAGTACCTAACTTCAGGTATTGTGTTGTAGCATTTGAAAATGGGCCAAGGCCTTGTGTGTTCAGCTGCAGGACTTGGGGGATGTTTGTATCACTGCATAGCTGCCTATCCTGATTGAGACAGGTGCCTTATCAATCTTCACATGTGCCATAGGACTTGCCCACCTAGGGGGATTCAGGTTCCTTTGTTTCACCCCACTTGGGGAGAGAGCATCAAGGTTAGTTCATCCACACATCTATCCTGCACGAGGCTGTCCTGCCAGGAAGAGCTGAGCTTACCGTGGCAGCTTGCTCACTTTGAACTGGCAGGAGTTGTACTCAGGGGGCATGTCAGGCACGTCCTCCAGCAGGATGTTGGGGATGCCCAGCCAGGCCAGCAGGTTGGCTGACCAGTTGGAGGCCTGGTTGGGTAGCTCCTGGAAGGAAAGCTGTTGTAACCCCACTCCTGAGAGGAGGGGCATTGCCCTGCTACAGACCTGTCTCTTTTTGGGCCAGAGCTGCTTAGTTTATCAATTTGAGTCAGGAGACAAGAGAGAGCGAGCAGTGTGTCCCTGTCCATCCCCTACACCTTGATGGTCATCCTCTAGCCTAGAGCTGCCTAAGCAGGTGGTCCAGAGGCAAGCTTAGAGCCTGGGCTGCCTCACACACTGTAGGCCCCTTTCTAACTCCAGAGCCCATCATGCAGGGCACCACGCCTGCCCTTTCATCCAACTCACTTCAGATGGCAGTGAGTAGGAGGGGCCTGGAGGACCCCTAGTGGGGACCCTCCCAGGGCTGCTGGCCCAGGCAGTTGGCCCCAGTACTAGTAGGGAACAATCATGAGTGGCCCTAGGTCCCCGGTCCCCATACCTGCAGTGGTAGCTTCAGACGAAGGTCTTCTGCATAGTAGCAGAGCACAGGCCAGGGGGCACTGAGGAGGACGTAGTGTACTGCAGAGGCCTTGTCCTGGACATTGTGCTGTGGGCACCAGAGGCTCTGTGAGGGCCTGCGGGTGTGGGTATATACACACGTGCATCTACTCACACCCTGAGGAGAGGGCTGGCTGGCATTGCCTTAGCCCCAGTGTCAATGGACACCCAATGGCTTTACACCTACTCAACAGAGAGGCTGCACCCTGAAAGCCGCAGCCAACACAGCCCTACACACTCTTGAAGAGAGCTTGCAGCTGGAGCCCGCGTCCCCTGTGCCCTCCTCCATGACCAGCACAACCGAAGAATCCCACCCTCAAGCCCTGGGAGAGATGTTGGCTTATTCAGAGACCGTGTGGTCCCCTCCCCATCTCCTGGCTTAAGTAGGCACTTAATCCAGGTTTTGACAAGTGCATGTGACAGGCACTCCTGCAGCCCTGGGACCGGTGAGATGGAACTTTCGGTCTCATGAACAAGCTGCTGAGTCTATAAATGTTTCCCAAAGACCTCGGTTTCTCAGGGGCTCCCAGCCCTCATCAAACATCATGATCATCTGGGATTCCCCAAATGCAGGTGCTGATCCTCTCCTGCTCCTGGGGAACAGACCTGGGCTTGGGGCTTTGGGGCACCTCTGCCTGGTTGTGACATGTGCTAGGAGCTGAGAACTGCCACATAGACTGGCAAACAAATCAGGGATGTCACCCACTGGTGCCTCTGCCGTTGTCCTGCTGTGTCCTCAACTAAAGGACAAAACTGCCCAGTTCTGGATGAAGGGTTTTTGCAAACTCATGGGTCCATATTGTCCCACTAGCTTTTTCCATAAAAGGAAGGGGTGGGGTCTTCTCATCTCAACCCATCAAATTGTTGGAGAGGGAAAGGTGTTAGCCTTTGGCTCCAAAATCCCAGCATGTATATGTGTGTTAATTCCTAAGAAAGTTCTGGAAGGCAACAAAGCAAAGTGTTGGTGGGGGAGGATGAGCGCAAGTGGGAGGGCTGAGGGCTGCTCTGCTCATTTTCCGTACAGTTGTAGGAACTACACACGCTGAATTCCATGATGGATAGGAGTGTGAGGTATGGGGCAGTGGGGGTGGTGAAAGCTATGGAGAGCACAGGAGGATCAGAGGCAGAAGTAGCTCTGTCCACAGCAGGTTAAACCAGGACACATATCTACGGTGATGGGCAAGCCATGCTGGGGAGATGCTTGTCATGCAGGAGACCAGCAAACCATCAACAAAGTGCTACACATTTGGTAAGAGAAAAACCATGAGCCAATAGGAGGGAGATGAGACACAGAAAGGCTGTTTGCAGCACAGATGCTCCCTGATTTTCCATGTGCATCCAGTAGAAATCAGATTTAGACTTTTTTTTTTTTTTTTTTGGTGGGACTGGAGTTTGGACTCAGGGCTTCATGCTTGCAAAGCAGGCGCTCTACTGCTTGAGCCACTCCTCCTGTCCATATTTTGCTCTGGTCATTTTGGAGATGGGGGTCTCACAAACCATGAGCCACTGGCACCTGCCTGGGTCAGACTTTGATTTTTGAATTTTGATCTTTCCCTAAGCAGCAGTACAGGGTCCAATCCTCTCTGGCGATGCCAGGCAGTAGCAGTGAACACTGCTCCCAGTCCGCCTCATGATCTCAAGAACATCCAGCACTCCACAATGTACTGTGTGGCTAAGCTAGGATATTTGGTAGGTTAGGTGCATTTAATGCATTTTTGACTTAGGATATTTTCAACAACTGAGGATGGATCTATCAAGATGTGACCCCATAGTAAACAGAGGAGCTGCTGTAATGGAAATGCAAATGGTTTATAAACGTGTAGAAAGTGCCCAGCCTCTTCTGGAATCAGAGAAAATGCAAATTTAAACAATTGTGAGGTGTCACCAGACACTTCCTGATTGGTAAGAAGTTAAGAATATCAAGTGTTGGGAGGATTCAGAGCAAGGGGGCGCTCCCTCATGAGAAAAGGGTATGGCTGCATGTACAGACCTGGGTGGCCCTAGAAGAAATGCCTGTGCAGGTGACAGGGCCACCTTCGAGATCACTAACAGAAGCTAGCTTTCCTAATGGTTCCCAACTGGGAACAAGGCAAACACCCATGCGCACAGCATCTCAAGATAAGCTGCACTGATGGGACTTTCCCAAGCTCCAACAGAAAACAGAGGTGTAGAGTTGAGTGACATGGAATGTTAAACACTTGAGTGTAATTAACGTAAATTTCAGAACTGATTCCTCCACGGAGGGGACACCTGATGGCAGCACCTGGAGACAGAGGAAGGTGGTCAGGAGGGCAGGGCATGAGATAGAAACACAGAGATGTAACAGGTGCTTAAACTGCTTTTGCTGAAAATCACCGACTCATTACTGGGGCCCATGAATTAACTAAAAGTGGGAGGAAAGCTTGGCATCCCTACCTCTATTTTTGTATCTATCTCACTCTGAGCCATTCACCTTGCAGTCACCTTGGAATCCAGGAAGGACAGGACTGAACATGTTTACAAGGAGGGATGCAGGAAACATTTTCCCCAAGGAAAAGAAGAGCAGAGTCATGGCAGGACAGACCACCCTCCAGGCAACGATGACATGCTTATCCTGACTAGATTGTTCCTCTCATGTGATGAGCAAGAACAGCTTCTCAGGAACCCCTCCCACAGCTGGACTGAGATAATGACTAGCCCAGGCCGTACTTTGAGCAGGACTGTTTAATCATCACGCATACCTTTCGTACCTGCCCAGGTTCTTTGTCTATTTAAACCCAAAGCATCTGTCTGTACCCCAAAGACAGGCTGAAGTATGCAGTGTGCCTCTTCAGTGGCTTCCAGCCCGTGCTAGGCAGGAGGTAACAAACCTCCTTCCTGTCCTTTACCAATGCTCCTCTTTTATTGGGTGTATTGAGGCAGGTGGCCCATCTGACATGTGGAGCCCCAGGATCTTGGACCTGGAACCTGAAACTCTGGTTTTAGAGAGATCTGGTAATGAGGGGCACAGGGACAAGATGGCACTCTGCCCCAAGAGCCCTCAACTGCCTGCCTACCTAGCCGTTACCATGCATCAGCACAGCTGCTCCCTGGGATTGTTGCTTAATCCTGTTATATAATACACAGGAAAGGACTTTTTAAACTGCTACCCATACCAGGAGTGACTGCAAATGATTGTCCAGACAAAAGCTTTAGTGATGGATGTGGATGGATGTGTGCAAAGATGGCTTTGCTCTGAAGGCTCTGGCTTCCAGAGCGACCCAATGTGCTGTCTCCATGTCAGCCAGTGGCTAGTGGTCCCCCAGCCAGGGGAGCTCCCTGAGGAGTGGGGTGTCCAGCAGGTCTATGGGACCTGGTTTGCTCCATGTCTTTGGCTGCCATTCCCTCAGCCCTGTTGGGCAAGGTCAGAGGTCAGAGGTCACTGAGCAGAGCAGAGACTAGGGCCTACCTATGACCACTCACCCCCTGTACCTGGTCTACTCGTAGCCCAGCTGCACGAAGATTTTCCAGAAAGGTCTCTCTCCAGGCCCGGTGTGTGTCTGGCTTGTCCCTGGTGCTGCTGTCCCACTGTCCACCCAGCCTCAGCTCTTCCTCCCAAACAAGGACAAAGTCTGCAAGGACCAACAAGGGCAGAGGCAGGGAACATGGTTGAGGAGGGTGTAGGCCCTTCCCTGACCTGCCAGCTTCCCAGAGAGGACATCAGGATCGGGATGAAGTAGGATCAAGCATGTGAACACTCAGCCAGGTCCTTCCAGGCCCTCTCTCCTTTTCCCATCAGGGCTGAGAGGACCCACGAGAGCTTCCCAGACAGCCGTGTATTACTGATGAGGAGCAAGGCTGGTGAGGGACTGGGGACATCCCTGAGATCCCTCCTCTAATTTTGTCCCTGCAGGGTGTGTCCCAAACTCCTAAAGGGACTTGGTTAGGCAATGACTTCTTTCACAGGACACCAAAAGCACAATAATAAAGGACAAACACAAAATTAGAGGACACCATCAAAAAGGTGAAAGACACCCAGATATGGACTTCATCAAAGGACACAGTCAAAAGGTGAAAGACACTCCAGAAACTAGAAGGAACTGTTTGCAAATAGTGTTTCTGATATGGGACTTTTATAAAGAATTTAGAGAACTCTTACAACAATAAAAGATAACCAATTAAAAATGCATAAGGATTCTGAACAGATAGTTCACTAAAGAAGACATTAGGGCTGGGGGTATGGCTCAAGGGGTAGACACCCTGACTAGCAAGTGTAAGGCCCAGAGTTCAAAAACCAGTACTGCCAAAACCTTAATATTAATTAATTAGAAAAACAAGGAGGAAGAGGAGATGGCCAATATGGTTCATTATTAAGGAGATACAAATCCAAACCACCATGAGATATCACTTCACACACCCACTAAGGCAGGCATAATAAGAGACAATAACCAGTGTTGGATACAGTGTTGCTGGCAGGTTGCAAAGTAGTGCAGTCACTTTGGAAAAGAGCTCAGCCTTTCCATGAATGTTAAGCATTGAGTTGCCACATGACCTAGCAATTCCACCCAAAAGTATATTGTCAAGAAAAATTACAACCTATGTCCTCACAAAAGCTTGAACATAAATGTTCATCATTACACTATCCACAAAGGCAATAAAGGAAAGAACCCAAATGTCCATCAGCTGATGAACTAATAAAAATATGTGGTAGAATATACAGTAGAACATTCTTTGGCAACAAAAGGAATGAAGGATGAACCTCAAAAACATTATGTTAAAAAAAGAAAATAGTCACAAAAGATGATTCCATTCATATGAAGTGTCCAGAATTGAAAAATCAATACAGAAGGAAAGTAGGTTAGTGGTGCTTGGGAGGAGGGGATAGAGGAGGATTGGGAGTAAGTACCACGAGGGGATAGAGGAGGATGGGGAGGGGATAGAGGAGGATGGGGAGTAAGTACCATGAGGGGATAGAGGAGGATGGGGAGGGGATAGAGGAGGATGGGGAGTAAGTACCACGAGGTGAACATCTGATGGAAATGTTCTAAAGTTAGATAATGGTGATGGTGTCACACTGAAAATCATAGGTTAATACTGCATGGGTGAACTGATGGTATGTAAGTTACATATCAAGAAAGCTGTTTCAAAAAGTAACCATAATATCAGTGTTCTTTGGGATAACTAGAAGACAGATCAATAACAATAATCACACTGCAGCTGGGGATGTAGCCCAGTGGTAAAGCCCTTGCCTAGCATGTGTGAGGCCCTGGCTTCATTCTTCAGCACTACAAAATCAATTGATCAATCAATCAATCAATCAACCATCAATCAGAACAAATAAATGCAGATGGGGGAAAATGGAAAGAACTAGACAAGAGAGTAAAATACATGACATTTTATGGAAGTGTTAAAAAAATCTAACTTACACATATTGAGTACCAGAGGAAGAGAGTGGATGAGGAAGAAATAATAATCCAATATTCCAGAATCATCACCCAAAATTGATGAAACACATCAATCCTCAGATTCAAGGGGTTCAGAGAACCTGAAGCAGCTCCATCACTGTCAGGCTTGTCAGTTCTTTAAGCAGTGATTGACAAGATCATATTAGTCTGTTTCTCATTATGAAATGAAATACTTGAGGCTGGGTGCTTTATAAAGAAAAGAGGCAGGATTGGGGGATGTAGCTTAGTGGTGGATCACTTGCCTGTTATGTACAAGGCCCAGGGTTTGATCTTAACACTGCAAAAAAAGATGAGAGAGAGAGAGAGAGAAGAGAAAGAGAAAGAAAAAAAGAAAAAGAAAGGAAGGCTGTGGTTATGGCTCAAGTGGTAGAGCACCTGGCTAGCAAGAGCAAGTCCCCAAGTCCCTAAATTCAAACTCCAATACCACCAAAAAAAAAAAAAAAAGGAACTAAAAAAGAAAGGAAATCATTTAGCCCACGGTTCTGGAGGTTCAAGGACATGGTTCTGGTACCAGCTGGGCTCCAATGAGGACCTCATAGACAGGAGTATGTGCAAGATGGAGAGCGCACACCACCATACAGGAAGCCAGAAAGCTGGAGGAGCTGTAACAACCCTCTCTTAAGAACTAATCAGGGAGCTCAGTGTGTGTGGCTCACACCTGTAATCCTAACTACTCAGGAGGCAGAGATCAGGATCAGGAGGATCACATTTTGAAGCCAGTCCAGGCAAATAGTTTGCAAGACCCTATCTTGAAAACACCTAACACAAAATAGGACTGGTGGAGTGGCTCAAGTGGTAGAGTTCTGTCCAGCAAGTGTGAAGCCCTAAATTCAAACCCTAGTGCCATTTGAAAAAAAAAGAACTAATCATGGGTTCCACAAGAATTACCCTAATCCCTTCTAAGGACCTTCCTAATGGAAGTCTAATGGCTCCACCTCCTAAAGGCCCACCACCTTTTGTCATGGCCACTCTGGGGACTGAGCTTCCAACACACAAACCCTGAGGGAAACCCTCAAACCTTATCCAAACTGTAGCAGACATGCATGACCTTCAGAGAAAGAATAATAAGATTGACAGATGACTGCAACAGAAACAGTGCATGCCAGAAGGACAAAACTTTGTGTAAAATATGGAATATATAGAAGTATGTATTTCAACTGATGCAGGATTAACACCTTTGATAATGCAGAAACCAAAGCTGCAGCACTGGTTTCTAAGCACACCATGCCTTGAGTCTTTGCTCAATGAATGAGGGCACGAAGGTGTTTCCTGAAGACCTTTCAATTCTTTTGGGCACACATCCAGAAAGGGAAATGTAGGGAAATGTAGGAATTTGTGCTTGTTTCTTTCCTTCCTTTCTTCCTTCTTCCCTTCCTTTCCCTTCCTTCCTTCTTCCCTTCCTCCTCTTCCTCCTTCCCTTCCCTTCCTTCTTTTCCTCCTTCCCCCTCCCCTTCCCCCTTCCCTTCCCCCTTCCCTTCCTTCTTTTCCTCCTTCCCCCTTCCCTTCCCCCTTCCCTTCCCCCTTCCCTTCCCCCTTCCCTTCCCCCTTCCCTTCCCTTCCCTTCCTTTCCTCCCTCTCTCTTTCTTTCTTTGCAATACTGGAGTTTGAACCCAGAGCTTTGCACTTGTGAGGCAGGTGCTCTAATGCTTGAGCTATGTTTCCAGCATAGAGGCAACTCCACACTGTTTTCCACAATGGCTGCACCACTTTACATCCCCTCTAGCAAGGCATAAGCATTTCAAAACTTGTTATTTTCTGTTATTTATAGTAAATAGTAGCCATCTTGACAGGTGCTGGGTTAGGGTCAACTACTTTCAGCAAGGGTCTCTCTCATGCTGAGTGGGCAGGGTGGGCACTGAGACCCAGCTAAGACTGGTGGTGCTGTGTCTGGGAGATGATGGTGGTTCTGGGCAGATGGGAGTGTGTGTGTGGGAAGTTTAAAGGTTTAAAGTTGGAAAAGACGTGGGGTGCAGAGAGAGGAGTCTGAGTTGTCTTGAGTTTGGGGCTGAATGCTGGAAGAAGGAGGGGACAGTTTCTGAGTGTGTCCTGAAGCAAGAGCAACCCATCCCCAGCCCCATCCCATGGGCAGGGACCGTCCTTTCCTGCTGTGTCCCTGGCTGTGGCTGGCTTGCCAGGTGGCTCTCACCCCACCCCAGCACAGCTATTGGCCCTAGAGCTGGCTCAGGAGATATCATAGGGAGGGCGGGGGTGACCAAGGCTTGGTGGTTTCCTGCTGCTGTCTGAGACACCCCATCTGTGACACCTCCCCCAGTACCAACATGGGCATGGCCAGCAGACTTTGGGAGGGGCTCACCGATCACCGGCTTGGCAGGGCTCCCTGCTGTGCAAGGAGCTTCCTGGGGTTCACCTGCCTAGAAGGAAGGAAGAGAAACGTCAGAACCCAACCCGGGATGACTCTCTCTCCCTGTTGTCCTCCCCAACCCCAACCTGCTTCCCATCCCTTCCCTGCCTTACCCTAGACCATCTAGGGCCACAGAGGAACATAGAGGAAAACTGAAAACTACATGGGCAGAGGGGCTGCTGACAGGCAAAGCCAGAGGACAAGGCCAGCCTTAGGCATCCACCGTCCTTCCTGCCAGGCTCCACTGGCCTCTGAGCACCTGGCAAGGCCTGGGGCAAGGGTCAGATTAGCAGGAACTACGGCTAAGACCAAGTAGAGGAGAGTCAGATGTCCCCAAGTGATCTTGAGGACCCAACAGAGGTGGCCACAGCACCGGAAGGTGGGATCCTTTTGGGTTTCCACAGGATCCCATGAGCAAGCTCTGTGCTCTAAGGGGGAAAGGGAGGGGCGCTTGTGTCACTCTCAGGCCACCGGGGCAGACACAGGGCTCATGAGAACTAGGGCATCCTGTAGGGCCTTGAAGGCCTGGGACCCAAAGTCTTCCTAACCTCACTCAGGATGTCTGTGGCCTTCAAGTGTCAGGCAAAGAGCCCTAAAGATGGAGTTGGACAGGAAGCTAGAATGTGGCATGGAGAGAGACAGTGTCCTCCAGTGGTAGCCAGCTGCCTTTCCCAGTTTGACTCAGGAGACAGATGTTCCCTTAGTGACCAACAAAGAAGCCTGGGCTGCGGCCATGGGGAGCTTCAGGCGGCAGCTGCACATCAGGCCACCTGGGACCTGTGACAAGTGTGGACCATGATGTTCTTAGGGTGCCACCCACCTGGGTGTCTGTGTATCTCATGGGGGTTTAACCCTTACCCCAATCCTAAGCTCTCCTGTTGCTATCTGAACTAGTCTAACCTTAAGGAAACCTGTCATGCACCTTGACCACTGCATCCTCACCCTCCTACTAACCCCAGCTGTGACCTGATCCTAACTCTAAAATGCTCCCCTACCCAGAAGGCTTTGGGTTCCTTTTAGGTGATGCTGTGTTCTGACAAACTGGTAAATGCAGAACAGACAAGAAGCAAGGTGACAAGCTCCCACATTTTCTACTCCCAGAAAGAGCTACTGTTAACCTTGCTTGTTTCTTTTTACATTCTTAGGCAATGAAGCATTCAGGATGTAGCTGAAGCCCACATTCCCTTCCCCTATGCTGCACACCTTTGCATTCACGGGCACCCAGGGATGAGTCACACTCCACACAGCCTCAGAAGCAGCGTTTCTGTTTTGAACTTGAATGCATGGCAGCACTGTGGTGCATGGCTCAGCTCCCCACCTCTCCACACTAGCTCTCTCAGCTGGGAGGTGCCCAACCCGCCTTGCCTTTGTATGGGTCTCCTGTCCCCTCCCCAAATTTCCATTTAAAATCAGTGGTTTCTGCACATCCTTCCATTGTCCTGTGAGGTAGTGGTGGCCTGACCGTGAGTCAAGAATACCTTATTCCTCCTGTTATCCAGGGTGGACAAAGGCTGGAGGTGCAGGTGGATGCCGCACCCACCTTTCAAAGACTCTGGGCCCAGGGCAGGGGTGCAGGCCCTGATGGGGGCTGGGAGAAACCTTGCAAATCACACAGAAGTCCTGTGAGCCAGAACCCAGGGATGGGGAGAGAAGAGGGGCTGCAGCACCCTGCTGCCTGCCCCAGGGCTGTTACCTCTGAGGCATGAGCTGTACTTCCATACGATCCTCCCTTCTCTGCCCCCGGGAAGGGCACATCAATCAGCACAGCGCTGTCCTCTTCCCGAGCTTGCCACCGCAGCATCCCGCTTCTGCACCCCAAAAGGCTGGGTGGTGACAGAGGGTGGGCTGGTCAGAGAGGGGACACATGAGACCCGGCCCTGGTACTACAGCACCGTTTGCAGCAAGCCCATTTTTTAGGTGACCAGCTTGCAGCAGCAGGCTAGTGCCATGCCACACTGTCCTATCTGTGGCACATAAAGATCTCTTCAGACTGGGCCACCAGCTACGGGAAAGAGCCAGCCAAGAGGAGCATCTGGCAATATGGTGGATGTACTTTGTGTACGTGTATGAAAGCAGAACAATGAAACCTGCTGCAATTGTTCTAAGGAGTGGGAAGGGAGATGAGGGCAAATGATGGAGAGGGTGAATCTAATCAATAAGGTATACTGTAAGCACATAGGTAAGAGTCACAATGTACTCCCACTGTACAACTATTACATGCCAATAAAAACAGAGTATCTGGGACTCTAGCCCTGCAGCTATCCATCTGTTTGTTGTCAGCCCAGTGAATGCCTGAGTCTCTCGGCCCTGAGTACTGGGGACAATGTGGGATAGTGTCCCCAGCAGAAAGGTGGGTGGGCATGGCATGCAGACTTCTCCTCCTTCCTCACCTGCAGGACAGGGGAAGGTGCACAGACAACACCCTTTAAAGCCATCTGCCTTTGCTGTATGGAGGACCTACTGCCAGGATCCTAGGCTTCCCCAAAAGGGCAGGGCATGGTCCCTGCAGGGTCTGGCCACCTGAGCCTGTGTCGTGGCTGCTGAGTCTCTCTCAGTGGGAGGACAGTACCACTATTCCAGGTAAAAGGTTCACACAGTGGTGCAGAGTGAGGGCCTGTGGCCCAGGAAGGAGGCAGGTTTGAACAGGGCTGGTGTTCACATGGGCAAAGCCCAGGAGGCTCTGATGGAGCCACTGGAAGGTAGAGGGCACAGCTCTCTAGGCCAACCCCTCATTTCAAGTGAACTGAGGCCCAGAAAGGCAGAGACAAAAGTCCAGGACCTGTTCCAGGACTTTGTTACAATGTGGTCCTCAGGCCACAGTTGGGGGGCCCTAGGAGCCAGTGTAGCAAACCATGGGGCTCTCCTGGAGGAAAGTCTCTCCAAGGGCTCAAGTCATCTGGGAGCCCCACTCTCCCACACCTGATGTGGTGACCAGGGAGGGCCTTCTCAGAACTCTGTAGAAGGAAAGGCAGACAAGGGTCTGAACCAAAGGCACCAAAGGAGATCTGCTTAATAATGGGTTCACTGGACAGGAGGGAAAACAGACTCCTTAGGGTTGGGGTACCCTGTCCAAGGTCACACTGAGCACCCGTCCCTTCTCATTCCCCTAGGGTTTGGAGCAGCTTGGCTAGGTCTCTAAGGAGCACCAGGGCTGGCCCCAGCACTGCCTCCCATAGTCCACAGCATTAGGAGCCCCCGTGAGCTCAGGGTGCTGGTTTAGCCTCTCTGAAGTTTGTCTCCCTCCCTTCTCCCCTTGGCCAGGTGGCCAGGCATCCAGAGTTGGTTTCCTACCTGGCACAGTGGCTTCCAGAGGAGGCCTCAGAGGTCATGGCCAACCTCCCAGCATGAGCCTGGTTTTAGCAGCAGAGTCTGGGAGGTGTCCTGTTTCTAGGGCCCTGCACAGGTGGTGGCAGACATTCACACGCCTTCACCTCACTAGGCAAACAGGCTGGAAGCAGGCAAGAGAGGAGCCCAGCACAGCTGGCCACCAGGGTGAGTTCTCTCTAATCCTGGACAGGACCTGCCTTTGTTTGAAAAGGGGGTGTGGGGCTCTGAGCTTGCAAACAGGCAGCCTATTTTCCTAGAGCCTTCACACACCCCATATGCAAATGTGCCATCCCTCTGGGTGCCTTATTTGCTTAGAGACTCCAGTGGCAGCCTGAGCTGTCCCCAGCTGTCTGGGAGAGTTTGGGAAGATGGAATTCTCAGGGACAGTCATATATGTCCCTCTGCCAGAATCCCTGCCAGGTGCACCTGGCAGCTCCTTTTACATAAGACTAAACTGTGGCTCCACAAGCTGATGCAGTCTGCACTTGAGTTGTGGGCCAGGGTTTCACCCAGGTCTGAGAACATCACAGGTCACAGTGCCAGTTCTGCCACTTCCTGAGTGACCTCAGACATGTCCTACCTCATCATCACCCCCAGTACCCAGGCCCTCTTTTTTCTGCTGAAACCCTCTAGTCAGACCCTTGTCCTGGCTGGAACCATTCCCTCATCCCCAACCGCCTCTCAGTGGCCTCAGTCCTTGGTACCTACAAGGGAACCCCTATTCTTGGTCTTATGTTATGCTCTTGAATAGTAGATAAGACCCTTGCAGGTAGCAGAATCTAGTGGGCAGCAGGCCCTGGGCACCCTGGGCACTTGCCCAGACTGCACAGGCCCTGAGATGACTCTTGAGCAAGACTACATGGAGGGATTCCAAGGAACCAGGAAGGGAGAGGAGGGAGGGTGGGAAGGGGGGAGCACCAGCAGGGTGGAGTCTCAGCAGGTCCTGCAGAGGGTGGCTGCACAGGAGGGTGGGGCATAGTGGTTCCCAGCCTGATGCAACTTCCTACTCTTGCTCTGGTCAGTCTCTAGCAAAGACCCATCCAGGAAGAAGCCAACTCCCAGGGGCTCCTCAGCCTCTGCTCCTGGTGGGAATGTGGTTCTGGTGGCCCCAGGGAGCTTGGGAGCAGGCTGCTAGGGAGAGACCAAGCCCCAAATCTGCTACACTAGCTTTATTAGGCTTTAACTTTTTTTGGGGGGGAGTGGAGATCCCCCTTGTGCATGCTAGGTAAGTGCTCTACTGAGCTAGAACTTTTTATATTAACTTAGGTAACATTTAGAAATATAGTTCATCAGTGAGACAGTAACAGTAACAGTGAGCTCACCCTACCCTGCCCTGAAGCCAAGTGTTACCAATGGGGAGAAAGGGTGGTTGTGATGCCCAGGGAGACTGACCTCAGGGACCCGGACAATCCCTTCCCTAGCCAGGAGCTACGCTTGGGGCCCCTAGCAGGCCAGGTGGCATCTTAGGCCAGACTTCTTGCACCTCCTCCAGGAGGGCCCTGCTAGGACCAGCTCCTTCTGACCTGCCCAACCCAGCCTCTCCTGGCTAGTCTCTAGGTCACTGTCCATCAAAGGTTAGAGGCCCAGAGACATTTTCTCTCCTTTTAAAGAATGCTCTGGCCTGCTGGGTTAAACCCAGGGTATTTGCTTTACCTACCACACTTGGTCTGGCACCTGCTTAGGGGCCCAGCAGCCCTGCGCTCTCCCTTGTTAGAACCTCTCCTCTCCAGCTTGGTGCCTGGGAAAGGGAGAGGGAGAGAGTGTGTGGGAGAACTGGAGGCCAGCACATGCCCAGCTCCTCTGCACTCTGTGTGCCCGTAAGGAAGTGTGAGGGCCCCAGTGTTGGAACCTGAGGGCAGGCCCCTGTTGTCCCCTCTCCTGTAGGTCCCACTGGGTGGGGGATGCACCTCTTCTATGCTTCACTAGAAGCATCCTGAGGGGTTCAGAGGGTCACTGCCTTCTCCCCCATGCATGCTCCTGATTTCACTTGGCTGAGAGCTGAGCTGGACAGGACTAGAGTTTGCTGGTGGGCAGGTATGGGAAAGCAGGAAGGGAGTAGGAGCCCAGGGTTTTTCCACCGGAAGGGTGGAAGACAGGGATGAGGGTGAGGGCCCCTGCAGGGAGCACTTTGCCCTCTGGTGGGAGGCAGGAGAGGGGCTGGGAAAGAAGAGATCATTTCTAGGAGGCCCAGGAAGGAGAGAGCTTACCTGTGAGCCCCAGCCTCCTGCAGATGACTTCTGTGCTGGCAGGTTCCTTGGGGGAAGCCAGCTGTTTTAATAACTTGTCAAGCTCCAAGATGTCAGGGAGCCAGAGGCCAAGGGCCAAAAAAGCTTGGAAAAGAAAATGGGTTCACTTTTATACACTGTGTTGTTTCCTATGGCTAGTGTAACAAACCAGCAAACTTCAGCATCTTACACCACACGAAGGTGCACCTCCTTCTGGAGATCCCACGTCTAACATGCATCTCACTGGCTGAGGCTGAGTTATGGCTGGGCCTCATCCCTTTCTCCAGGCTCAGGGTAGAAGCTTTCTTTTGACTTTTCCAGCTTCAGAGAAGCTACATTTCTTGGTTTACAGCCCCTTCTCCATTTTCACAGTTGGCCAGCTAGCCAGTTGCATCTCTCAGGCAATCTAGGATGACCTCAGCTTCAATGCTTTCAAGACTTTTTGGTGTTTTTGGAGGTAATGGGGTTTGAACTCAGGGTGCTCTACCACTTGAACCACTCCCCCAGCCCAGCCTCAATGCTTTTGACTTGATTCTGCTTGCTGTATCAAATAGAAGATCCCAGTGATTAGGACATGGACATTTTGGGAAGTCTTACTCTGCTGACCATGCAGAGCAAGCTGACTCCACTTCTGTGGACAGCACATTGCATCTTTATGTAAGTCTCTAATGGTTTCCATAGGAAACATTTCCGAGAAGAGGGGTTTAGGTCAGAGGAAGTATGTGGTGTTACAGAACTGCCCCACAGCCCTAGGAAATTGACTGTTTCCTTGGTCTCATCAAAGAGCAGGATGCCTCCTTCCCCTGTGCTGTCACAACTTTCACAGTTACCAGCTACCAGGTACAAGCACTGCCAAACTGTTAGTGAACGATGACTTTAATTGGCACTTCATTGATTATTCAGAGACTGTTTATTGTTCACTTGTGTCTACGTGGACCCACAGGCTGGGCACAGGGGACTGTCTATGTGAACCCATAGGTTTGGGTAGGAGACCTGTCTACATGGACCCATGGGTTCAGGTGCAGGGGACCTGTCTATGTGGACCCATTGGTTTGGACACAGAGGACTATGTATGTTGACTCATGTTTAGGTACAAGACCTATGTATGTGGACCAATGGGTTTGGTTGCTGGGTCCACTGAGAACCCATTTAGGTGCAGGGCTTCTCTGAGTGTGTTTCAGCACAGGTACCCACATCATTTGTCTTGGGTGTCTATGTCTTTGTTCCTCAGACATGAGTGGTGTTTGGCAGAATTCCAGGGCTGTAATGCAAAAGCTCTATGGGCTACATCCATGCTTTTCTTAAGAGTTTGCTTTGTGATAGGCAGATGCTTCACAGATTCAGGTCACACAATTTATTTCGGTGAGGATTAGAATCAGGAAATGGACGTTAAGTCCCAGGCTAACCATTATGACATTACAACCTCCCTGGCAGCTGACCATCGAGTCAGCTTGCACATCCCAGGCATACACTCCATGCCTCCCCATGTACTGTCCCCCCCAAAACTGAACAGAATCTACAGAAGCACTGTCCACAACCTTCTGTGATGACAGAAACAAGATGTGGCCATGTGGAGTGTGGTAAATGCAGACAGGAGCTGGATTTCTAATTTAATGAATTTAAATTTGGACTGAAATTGCCATGGGTGGCAGAGTGGCCCTGTGCTGTACAGTGTAGGTCAGGAATCTCAGACCTCTGGCGACCATACAGTTCAATTCTCATCCTGTGGCAGGGGAAATCTGATGCTCTAAGGAAGGACAATACCTTTGCAGCATTAAATTCAGGCCCCAATGTGGCCAATGTAGATGTCACAGAAACCAAAGGATAATGGGGTAAGGTCAGGAGGCTTGTGCTGTAAATGGCACAATGTAGCTGGGGTACATGGGATGTGGCTGTCCACACACACAGCCTTTTAGCATAGTTCCTGGCACTCCAGCCATCGCTCCACAAGAGAGCTCTGAGAATCATGGCACCTAAGGCCAGACTATCTTTTACCCATTTTTTTTTAATATATAATTTTTTTTTTCAAAATTGGCATTGACTGGCCTGAAAGACTAAAAAGTGTGCTGTTGCGGGTCACGACTGCAGAATTCTGCACATTGGCCTTTACTGCCCACCTGGGCAGCAGCACAGACATCCTAAAAGCACCCTCAGACCCACATTACATGACTCAGGTGGGGCTGTGGCTTTCCTCTGAGATGACACAGACACACACAAGGAACACGAGTGCTACGGGTCCTGTGTGCTTTCCATGGCTACAATGACTGTCCACAATTCACCAGGAAGACCATGTGGCAGGTTTAATAAGACTGGCATCTCCAAATGGTGCTCAGCACCACGTCAGCTACCGTCAGTGCCTTTTTTATTGCCATTGGGTTGTGACTGTTGATATAGTGACCATCTCCGGAGCAATAGGTGGATTAAAAAACGGTGCCTGGGAAGTTCTTTTGAGGAGAGGGACCAGGTGAGGAGCAAGGAGGACTCAGAACCTGACGAACGTGGCGTCGATCTGCCGTACGGAGGGAAGGGCCAGCATGACCTTCCGCCTGTACTGCGGGTCCTTCTGCAGGGGGTTGCGCTCCAGGTACACTGTCTCAAGGTTCCTGGCACCCTTCAGCTCATCAAGGTCACTCCAGCTCTCAAGGAGATTGTCGTTCATCTAAGGGAGAAGGGGATACACGCATGAGAAAAGCCTTTAGAGAACAGCCCTGACTCTTAATGCCTGCAACTCCCAAATCTGTGAGGGAGGCCATGGGGGCATCCTAGTCCAGTGAGACTTGGTGGTGGGCCTCCCTAACCACCCCGAACACAGGGAAACATATAGTGGGCTTTCCCTGGCACCTCATGGGCTCTCCCATCACCTCTTGTTTTTCTTTTTTTAACCTGGCTACTTTTCAGTAGCATCCCAAGTGGAACCAGGGTGATGGTGCCATGTGGCCAGGTTCACAGAAGAGCCAAAGCAGTGTGACCACATGGCCTCTCTGCCCTATATGCAGGAGTTGAGGCAGGTTCAGTTACAGTGCCTACAAACTAGTTCTCAGCAACTGTGCCCAGGGGCAAGACAGCACTCTGACTGGAATACAACAGACTAGAGGCTGATCCAGTCCAAATTCATGGCTTTCCTGTTATTATTTATTTCCATGGTGCATTTCCGAGGATGTCTCTTGCTGGCTCCTGTCTGCAAATGTCCCCCTTGTGGCTGACTCCAGGTGCAAGGACATAGAGCCTCTTGTTGCAGGCTTGCAGCAGGTGAAGTTTCACTGTCCTAACTCTGCCAGGCCGACCTGAAGGCCCTACCCTTGCCAGGAGAGCTCTCTCTTTGCAAATAGTCAAGATGAGAGGCAGATTTTGGTCAGCCACAATGTGGACTGTGTGTGTCCAGTGGATGTGTGTGGCTCCTATGCTGGGATGAGTTTTGGGACAACAGAATTACTTTAGTGAGTCAAGAGACCACTGAGAACCACTTGATTAAGGGCTGAGGCAGATTTGGGAAGGGCACACGTGGGAAAATAACCACCTGGATTTGGGCCTGTGGCGTGCTGGCAAGTAGTTAACAACCAGCTCCCTGAAACAGAGAAAAGCTCCAGTTTGTCCTATTTGCCACTTTCTGGGTATATATACCCCTTGTGGGGTAACTGTACTACCAGCATGTTGGTACTGAAGCAGAGGTGGCAGGGTGCACACATTGGGCTGCTAAGCCCTCAAGATGGATGCAGCACAGCACTACCTGCAGGGATTCTGATGGAAGAAACAAACTGCAGGCAAGCTGCAAGTCAAACAGCCCAGATCAAGGGGAGCAGGTCCAATCTCAAACCCTGCAGGTGGTCTGGCTGCAGACTTGCTAGGCCTCAGGGCCTGCAGCAGGTAGTGGGGAGGAGCTGGGCACTGCCGCTAGAGAAGTGACTGCACTGGTAGGTGAGCCCAGAACCTAAGAACAGAGTGGGGAAGAAACTGAGGTAGCATGCCCAGAGAAGTAAGGACATGGACTGAAAAGCAAGCAGAGGCACCTGAGGACTAGAAGAAGGGCCACAGGTGGGAATGCCAGGGAAGGGTTCAGTGTGGCCTGGCACTGGAGGCTGTGCTGGTTGGCACAGGCTCTGTAAGCCCACTGGCCTTGAAGTGCTGGGTGAGTACGGAGTGCCTCCCCTGTACTAGTTCACTGAAGCTGCAACAATTTGTGAGGTGTGTGGGAGACTACTGTGTGTTGGGGTCAGCACAGAGGTGGGGCAGGGTAGGGCAGGGTGGGGAGGGAATGGGACAGAAGACAAGCTGAGAGGCAGGGAGGGGACAGATCACTGGGCTTTGTTGAACTTTGGCTTTTACTCCCTGCTATGATTGGAGCCCTTGTTTCATGTTTTAAATGTATCACAGTCTTATGTGGTGGGCAGACACAGGGCTGAAAGTCAGCCAGCCTCTTTAGGGTGTAGGGAAGGGAGGCTGGGGCCGTGGGCCAGGTGGTGGCAGAAGGTGAAAAGAGGTGGGATTCTGGATGTATTCTGAAGGCAGAGGTGAGCATTTGGAAGCTGGACTGGATCTGAAGATGGAGGCAACAGGTTAGATTGGACTTAGTGTGAGAGGATAAAGGAGAACTTCAAGCTTTTACCCTGAGGAGCTAGATGGATGGAGTTAGTGTCTACTAAGATCAAATCAAATTGAGGAGACTGGGGAGACAGCTCATGATCTCATGCCTAGAAATACCCTGCTCAGCTGACAGGTGGATATTCAGCAAAGTTCCGTGTTGAGCAGACAGCTGGATCCATGAATGTGGAGTCCAGGAAAAACACTGGGGTTGGAAATCAAAACATGGCTGTCAGGAACATAGTGGTGGCATTTAAATCTCCAAGAATGGATAGGCTTGCCAAATAGAAAGGGGAGGATTGAGAAGTGAACCCTGGACTGCAGCTGTGGGTGAAAAAAATGGAGGGGAAGCCAGCAAAGACAACCAAGATAGAGTGACTATGGTGACAGCAGAACTGTCAGCCTTCCTATCATCTATCAACCCATCATCTACATCTAATTGAAGAAAAGTGTCTTGAAAAGAACACAGTAATTAAATGTGTCTGCCAAGAGATAGGGTGAGGGATGGAGGGACATTGCATTTGGCATGTGCCCATCGGTGGAGTGAAAGTCAAAGCACCATGAAGGGCAGAACATGGGCACTGACCCACTGGAATGCATGTTGGCTGGCAGGCCATGCTGGTGGCTGGGAGCTTGACTGGAGTGGGTTCAGGAGGTGAGGGAGCACACAGCCAGGTCAGACAGTCTTCTGAACAGATGGATACAAAGGGAGCAGAGACAGGAGAGGGTGGGTGGGGTGAGACTGGGGTAGGGATCAGGATGGCATTAGGTGGTGGCCATTTGAAGTGCAGTGGAAAAAGTCTCTGATGTTCTCTGAAGAGAGGACAAGGAAGCAACATGTTAAGTCACTGGAAAGGTTGTCTCCAGGGACACTGACTTCACCAAGAATCAAGCTGGGAACTGAGTTGGAGATAGTGAGCCAAGCACTGAAACCTCCAGGGACAGGAGTGTGCCCTAAGAAGTGTGGCAGCCACACTTCTCTGTTCATGGTGGCAGGGAGAGGAGGAAGAAGAAATGGTGTGGAGCTGGTAACGAGGCTCAAGAGGCCACAATCCACCTCTAGGCCCAGGGATAAGATGATGCTTATGAAATTTGTTAAGGTGGTTTTGTGCCTAAAAACCTAGGGTTGGGTTTCTTACACTCCTCTTCACTGTAGGCCACATTTCCTATTTGCTTATCTAGTGACTGGATACGCTGCACAAACTCTGGCATTTCTGGAGAGTGTTGGTACTTAGTCTAACAGGAAATGCAGAAACAGGCTGCTCACTTACAACCCATGTAGGCCTGATTTTATGCTTTACTAGGAGGGTTTGAGAGATGGTAGGAAGGTTGACCCCAGTGTGTCCTATATCTCTCCAACTTGGTGGGAACTGATCTGATGGCTTGGCCTCCACTGGTGACCATGCTAAAGCCTGGCTTTAGACTATGAGTGCAGGATCAGAGTAGGTTGCATCAGAGCTCTAGTCTTCATGCAGTCTCTTGGCATCTAGCTGGTCACCAACGTGCTGGAGCACCATGCCCTGCACAGTGCTCTGGGGAGACCCTGACAGGCTGAGGGCATATTGCTATGCCCTCAGTCACAGGTTGATCTGATCCATATGGACTGCTGGGTCCCTTCTCTCCCCTTCACTTTGTCTTGCACATTCTAGTTGTCATAAACTTTGACTTCTGCTTCTTCAGTTCAGCAAAGTGCCATGTTCTGCTTGGGGAACTGTTCCCAGGCAAGGACCAGGGCAGTCCTGGGCTCTCTGAAGTCTCCCTTCTAGGGACTATGGCTGTGCTTGCTGTCTCTTGTCTACTGGAGTGGCCTCAAATTTTTGCAATTATTTCTTGTGGGATGGCTAGGTTGATACCAGCTCTGCTGTCAGAGCTGGGCTTGTCTTTAGTAATTTATACATTATGAACCTTCCAGAGTAGAATATATTATGTAGGGCTTTCCACATGCACTTGTTTGAAGGACACTATTTTTCACAGAACCTCTTGTGAGACTAGTGTGCCACTGGTTTTAGGAAATCTAGATTTCTAAAACCTGGAGCTCACCCTTGTGGACAGATCTGAAAGAAACCTGATCTGAAGAGCTGTGTCACGAGAGCTGAAACTCAGAATGGTATGCAGCTGCAGCTTGCATTTGTGCCTCTAAAGGAAAGGACAAAGTAAAACAGCTGTCCTAGGATAAGTTCTTAAACACTATTCTGTTAAACATGAACTTATCACACTGCAGCTGGTCATTTGGCAATGCAATGCCTGAAAAATTAGAATGACAGTGGAAGAAATCTGCCTGCCAGGCCTGTGACTTGTGGTTTGATCAGTTAACAGAAAGAGCCTGTTCAAGTGGAGAGTTGCTACAACGGGCACACATTGCCTCAAACATTCTTACCTTAACACACACAGCACACTCACATAATGGAGCACATTGCACTGTGTGGAGGGAACAGGATTGTGCAGCAGTCTATTTAGATGATTGTTCAAGCATTTCTGTAAAGAGACTCCAGTTTTCAGCTCTGGGAAGGGTATCCCAGCTCCCATTCCTCCCACCTCATACTGGGATTGAACCCAGGGTCTCATGCTTGCTAGGCAGGCATTCTACCACTTGAGTCACACCCCCAGTCCTTTATTTTGCTTTTGAGATAGGGTCTCACCAACTTTCCCAGACTGGCCTTGAACTTATGTTCTTCCTACTTCTGCTACCTAAGTAGCTGGGATTATAGACATACACACCACCACACCCAGCTTCTTCCTCTTTTTCAATAAGTGGATTTACTTGTATCTATCACACACCATATGCTTCCTGTCCACTTGTCAGCATTTTCTGATGCCATTTTCCAACAGTCCACATTGGCACAGCCATCTCTATAAACTCCAGGTCTTGTCACTTAAGGTTTATCATGGCACAACAACCTCAGAGCCGCTTTCTGCAGCATTTAGTAAATGTGGAACTGGGGATTTTATTCACCATCAATGGTATATTGTAAGCAATGTATATGATACTGATAACTCTTAAGAGATTTTTCTTTCTTTTTTTTTTTTTTAAAGGTGCTGGGGCTTGAATTCAGGGCCTACACCTTGAATTCACCAGTTCTT